AAATAATATCTGGTAAATTATCTAGTTATGCTTCACTTGTTTGACATGAGAAGACTAAATTGAATTATTGTATAAATACAGTAAAATACTTTTTTTTGTATTGTGGAAATCTTTGTTTTGTTTCTTGGAAAGGCACTAAATCATTTGAATAGTTTATCTGAATGACATTTTAATAAAATCAGTTGTTTCAGCTTGCTACAGAAGCTTTTTCATATAATTTTTTAGGATTTTGAGTACTTTTCACTGCTTTAAACAAGAGGTCAATGAAATAAACTCAGATTAATGGGTAAAAAAAATCCTTTCAGCTCAGGTTATTATTAATGCTACTGATCTATTTAAAGAATATTATTTTGCTGATGTTTATTTAGCTGATAGTTTTGCTCAAATTTAAAGGATAAAACCTTTCTTTAAACACTGATTAAAGCTTTTGAGGATGACTTATTGTCATCTGTTTCTGTGAAAAAAGGCATAATTGAGGGATTTTTATCAGCTTTCTCTTGAATAAAATAAAGACATCCTGTAAAACTCTGATGTTTCTGCAGGATCTTTACAACCGGGACCACATTTGGACTCCAACATGTTCACCTCAGGGCTTCTGCTGGCTGCCTTCAGCCTGCTGGCAGGTAGGAGGGATTTCTCCCAAACATGCACATCCAGACCGGTTTCAGTCCCTGGCAGTGGTGGGAAGTAATGAAGTACAAGTACTTCGTTACTGTACTTAAGTACAATTTCCGTGTATCTGTACTTTACTTAAGTAGATTTAATAATGGATACTTTCTACTTTTACTCCACTACATTTAACAGTAAGTACCTGTACTTTCTACTTCACTACATTTCTATACAGCGTTTCGTTACTCGTTACATCCAAGACGCATTTCGGTTTTTTGATTTGTTCGTTAGTTTGAAAGTATCCAATGGCGAGAGCAGAATCAGTCCGCTGAACCAATCCAAAGCGGGAAATAACCATTAGGCCCTCCCTCAAGAAGAGCAGCACAGTACCAGGACCTGCATAAAATATCTCAATCTAAACTGTCACAGGGGGTAAACACAATAAAAACATGCTTTATCTGCAGCATTGCTCTTTAAAATGGTACATTACTGATTTATTCAAACTAAATACGATAGGTACACTTAATGACATTATATAAGCCGTTAGGTATTATGGTTGGCAAGTACTTTTACTTTTAATACTCAAGTAGTTTTAAAAGCTTGTACTTTCTTACTTTTACTTAAGTAAAATAATAATGTCGTACTTTGACTTTTACTTGAGTAAATTTTTGTCTGTGTATTTGTACTTTTACTTAAGTACAAATGAGTATGAGTACTTTCTCCACCACTGGTCCCTGGATTTGTAGACGTAAAACCTTCCAGGCATGCAGGAAGCTGTTTTGTTTTAGGTTCATGTCCAACAAAATGATACAACCAGCTTTATTTTGGGGTATTTGGGTTAGTATTTTGTTCCCAATGCATCCACCCTGCTGTTTTTTCTTTTTTACACAGAGCATGCAGTTCTTCCATTTTTACTCCATATTTGAAGTTTTATCTGCAAAAATATAGACTCACCTCTTTCTGATTGATATTTTATGTAACTTGTTGAGTGACAAATGATTGAATATGTTCATATTAGGCCCTGAAAAGCATTTAGGGTGTTTATTCTGTAAAAGGACAGAAAAGCTTTGTGCACAGTTCCTGTTTTCATGTTCAGGTGCAGCCCAGCAGACTTTCACCAATTCTGGAGAGATGGACATCACTTCCTGTCCCATCACCTACTTTGGACAGAAATATGAGAAACTCTATGTGAGTTGGATATCTTTTTAAAAAAGGCGGTAAACCGCCAGCAGGATGAAAACAGGCAGTAAAATATCTGTAACTTTGTCTGGCTGTGCTCGTGAAAATGGGTCAGAGGTTCAGGGATCGGGTCCATTTTCAGGTCCTTTAAATCAGTGTTTTCCAACCCCTGGTCCTCGGTACACTAGTGTGCCGTTAGTGATGGTCAGGTGTGCCGTAGAAAATCATCCTATTTCACCTAATTGGTCTAAAAAAATGTTTTGATAAGGAATTAAGTATCTGCAAATAATATTCCATTTTTGAGTGTCTGTGCTGTTCTAGTGACTGGTGGAGTAATCATGTAATAATTCCTTATGACTAGATTTTGTATATAATTTTGCATATTGAAGAGGACATGTTAAGTGCAATATAAAATATGATAAAAATACATTTTTGTGTTTATTTGATTCATATTCATGACACTTGAGATAAGATAAGAATAAAATAAGAATAACTATAGTGTTACTATAGGCGGATACAGATTTGTTTAACATTTTTGGATGGTGGTGTTCCTCGTGATTTTTTCAATGAAAAACTTTACCTTCGCTCAAAAAAGGTTGAAAAACACTGCTTTAAATGTTCTCTTTTCTGGGTCCCACTGAACTTGTGGAAGAACGTAAAACTTATTAGCATTTAAAGAAAAAAGCAGAAACCAAAAACGTATTAAATTGTAAGACTACATTTTTTAAAAAAGGGTTTAATGATCATTTAGTTGGGACCTCTGATCCACTCCATGTGCTTTAAGAAGAACACCAAAAGCAGCCAATAGAATTAACTCGCATTACTGTCTCCGGCCAATCAGAAAGGGTCAGGCTATTCCATAAAAGGAGATGTTCGGAGGCTTTTGACCAATAAGCAATGAGCCAGCTGTCTCCTGGGTTTGGGGTCAGATGTGTCATCATTTGTGTATCCAGGAGAATTTCTTTTTGCTAATAAAAGTAAAAGTGATCGTTTATTCAGGTGTATGTGACCCATTTCTGTTTTTATAACCTAATACATGAAGTGCAGCCTGAACCTGATGATTAACCCTGTAATGTCAAATGTGTCATATCTGATACGGTTTCTGAAATGTTTTGCATCTGACACCTTTTGCATAATTCAATGGTAAAAACTTTGCTCAAAATCTGATTGTACACAATCAGATACACCTGATAACAGGGGGCAGAAGACTACACGAAAAATAATCTGGACTTATCGCATAGTAATAAATTATTTATATCAAAAATGTATTTCTGTTTTTTCTCTTTACATATTATGTTAAAAGGCCAAATAAGGAATTCAAACAAAACAAATGAGATTTGCGGTTTTGTTTTGTTCTTGTATCAGACTTTAAAGGGTTAAATATTGATCTCAGTCTTCTTAGGCAATAACATGAATAATTTTTTATTTTGAACAACTTCCTGAAAACCCCGAAACTATTATGATCTTAAACCTGATACTGAGATTAGATTATTATTATATAAAAAATGTATTTCTGTTTTTTCTTTTTACATATTTTGTTAAAAGGCCAAATAAGGACTTCAAACCAAAAAAAAGTAATTTTCTGTTTTGTTTTAGTCTTGGATCGGGCTTTACAGGGTTAAAGGCTCAGCTTTGGGTTTTGGGGTGTCTGAGGTTTGCGGTTCTGATCTATAGTTGTGTTTCCTGCAGGTGGGCTTCAGTGGAAACAGATTCGCCGTTTGCTTCAAAGGCCTGTACTCCCCTGGAGTCCAAAACGACTGCATTTTGCTGTCGGGGGGGGCGGCCGACAGGGGCAACCTGTCCGTGCTCAGCAGGGAGATCCCGACCGGATCCGGAGTCCACAAACTTCTGCCGAACCTGAAGTATGCCGGGAAATGTGTGAACGTGATCCCGCTGAGCGACAGCCAGCTGTCTCCGGTGAGCCTACCCAAGCTTCTCTATCCCGGTGTCAGGAGGTGGGTTCTTGAAGGGAGGACTCAGGTGCGGAGATGAGGGAAAAAACAAGGTTTATTGTAACAAAAAAACACTCATGAGTGAGTGAATGTCCAGACAAAGTACAAAACAAGGCTGTGGAAAACTGTGAGCAAAGTATCAAAGCAATAAGTAAACAAGACTGTGGCAAAGTAACAAAATAAAGATTAACAAAACTGTGACAAGGCTGTGGTAAAACAATGACAATGGCAAAGTAACAAAATAAAGAACAAGACTGTGGCAAAACTATGACTATGGAACAACGTAAAAGACTGGCAAAAAGCAAACCTGGCGTGGGGGTGACGAAGGACAGACGACGAAAACGGGAAGAACGAATCGGACGAAACCAGAAGGACAAAAACGCACTCGCACCAGACAAGGGGAAACAGGACTATTTAAACACATGAGGGAGGGGAACCCCAGGTGTACACAATAGGTCATCAAGACATGACGAGACACCAGACGTGACACCTGTCATCGTCAATGTTGTGTTTAAATATAGGAATCTATAACAACTCTCTCCCCGTTGCCAGATCGGACAAGTCGAACTCGGCAACTTTCACCAGCAATCGATCCTGGCAATCAAGACCTACTCTGGATACACGAGTGTGAATATGGTGGGTATCCAGAGGGCCACCGGCCCACAGGTCCTGTTAACTATTCTGATGATAGATATAGGAAAACTGGGTAAATCGTCCCACTCACAAACTCCAACAAAACTACAACAGAGAGGTTTCTAAAGCGAGGAAGGACTTCAGATCTTCCTTTTTAACTTAAAAATATCAAAAACAGCTTTTCAGATAATCTGTGATTTAAGTTTGCTTCAGAGCAAATAAAATAAATTGTATACCACGGTGGTGTGGTGGTCAGTAATGATGGTGATATGAAGCTTCATAAAGCTTTGAAGCGTTCCATCCAATTGGTTCACTCGTGTGTTGAAGCTTCATGGTGCTTCATTTGCTCTATTGCGCCATCAAGTGGACAACAAATGTAAACCGTACAGCTTTCGCTGTTAGAATGTACATATGAGTAAAGTTATCGATCGTTGCATTCTTTGTAAGTGGGCAAACCTGCAAAATCAGCAAGGGCTCAAATACTTATTTCCCCCACTGTATATTAGGGTTGGTGAGTATTTTGGGAAGCAGATCAGAGGCTTGATCTTGATTTTGCCTTGTGGCTAAACCGGAGGTGTTTCTCTACAAGTCCTCAGAGTGTTTGTGCCCCCCCCCCCCCCCCCCCAGGCGGCCGACGCGCTGGTGGACGGGTTCACCGTCTCCGCCCACAGCTTCCCCACGGCCGACACCAGCCGGGGCGTGGTCACCGACGTGAGCGGCTGCCGGCTGTCAGGTGACCCAAACACTCTGACCCCGTCTGACCTCTGACCCTTCAGACCCCTCTGACCTCTGACCCCTCTGACCGGATCAGAAATGGACACAAAACTCCAATAAATGACCAGAAAACGAAAGAAAACGTTGAGAGAAGAGACCAGAAAAAGAGACAAAATAACCAAAAACAGACACAAAAAAAGGTCCATTAAGAATCAAAAGACCTTTAACCTCCTGAGATCCAGAAGCTTCTACCTGGTTCTGGTTCTGGTTCTGGTTCTGGTTCTGGTTCTGGTTCTGGTTCTGGTTCTGGTCCAGGTCTCTGATCAGGTTAAGAACTAGACCAGAAAACGAAAGAAAAGGTTCAGCAAAAGACCAGAAAAAGAGACAAAATAACCAAAAACAGACACAAAAAAAGGTCCATTAAGAATCAAAATACCTTTAACCTCCTGAGATCCAGAGGCTTCTACCTAGTTCTAGTTCTGGTCCTGGTTCTGGTTCTGGTCCAGGTCTCTGATCAGGTTAAGAACTAGACCAGAAAACGAAAGAAAACGTTGAGCAAAAGACCAGAAAAAGAGACAAAATAACCAAAAACAGACACAAAAAAAGG